GATATGATTCAATAAAAGACTAAGAACCTGTAAAACCCCACCTAGACTCGATAAAAGAATAAGAATGTTAGAAACCGGTAAAACTCTATTTATCACCACTTTCGTAAAATATGTTGCGTCCAAGAGCAAAACATCAATAAAAGTGAATGGAAGAGGTTGAAAACATGCGAACACACATATACTCTCGAACTGCTCCTTACAATTACAAGTTGCAACCCACATCCAAGATCACTAACCGTACAAGGTACTTCCATATATTCAAGGTATGTAGCCATCTTTAGCCTACAACATATAGGAGTTATCCTAATTCACCATCCTAAGATCTTTTAACATTAAGTGGTGCATTTTAGTTGAAGGAGTATTGATTAAATGACAAATGGATTCTTACTTGCTTAAGTTTTTCATCAAATAGACAGTCATACAACTTATTTCTTTCCTCTCTCTTTTTTTATTTCCCTCACGCGAATTCTACTATCTTGCCACGTAGTTCTTTGTCTATCAAAAAGTGTATTGGGTAGATTACAATGAGACATGAGCACTAATAGAGATAACCACCAAGTTACCTGTTCACTTTATTTAATATAAAATACATAAATTGTATCCATTTATTTTATATTTTAGATACTATATTTATTAATTCACAAATAAATTTTATTTGCCGTAAATAAAAGAAAAGAATAACTAATAAGTATCAATATAATACTCTACTGTATAATTATATGAGGATAAATATACAATATATCATACTTTTTATAAGTAGAAATATAAGCATGATTAATTAATAATATATATAGATATATTGTTGTAAACTAATTTATATCGAGTATATATATATGATATATACAATAAATGAATAAGTAATACATATTCACCTAATATATATAAATATACTATATATGATACTTTTTATAAAAAGAAATACAAGCACGGTTCATTAATATAAATAAATATATATTTACATGTATATATATATATAATTATATTATTCTAAACTTAGGAATATCGAGTCGTCACTTTATTTTGAAATCTTATAAATAATTTTTAACCAAATTAATTTACTTAGTATTTTGCTTACATGATTCTAAATACATCATGCAACATAATATTTACATTTTCGAAGAATTTGCTATCTCCTTAAAAATGGCAGTTATATGATATTTTTTTCTTTTAGAAATATATACTACTATCGCATCTGGAAAGAAAACGTGGGTCTGTCATGAAAAGAATTATGTACATTTTTATGCATTTTCTTGAACAACAGTCTTGGTTGGGAGAACATTCAATCGGATTAGCGCCTAATTATTTTAAGCTCATTTAAGTACTTGCTATTAGTTAATTTTACTATTATATAACTAAAGTATAATGTTTTCAGCGATATCTTGTTATCTGTTGACCTAGTTGTTTATACAAATATAAGCCTAATATAGACAAAAACACCAAGCGATACTATTTTATAGATGCAACGAAGTAACTAAGATATGACTTTTAGGTGATATTATGTTATCTGTTTACCTTTTTGTTTAATCTTTATACTAACTAGAGATTTTTTTCGCGCTACGCGCGGATTGTGTCTTTTGAAATATTTATAACCTTTATATCATTATATTTTTTGTATTTTATATTATATTTAGATTTAGTATAGTCAATTTAGATTTATTTTATTATTTTTATGTGGCTTAAATCATCTAAAATTATTTAAAAAAAAATCGAAAGTGCGTCATAAATAAATGCATAGTAAGCAAAAGTGTCATCAATTTAAAATCGGTTGTTGAATGTGGTTTTAGGAATGAAACCATTTTTTAATATGTAAGATATAATATTTTATTTTATTAACTTCATGGTTGTTGTATTACTTTGATTTTATTTTTATGTTTCTTTTATTTAGAATGTTTAACTTTTCATTTTAGATGTTTTTTATTAATAAAAATTGATTTTTCAAGCTTAATAGATGTGTTGTTAATTACTTGCAAATTATCTCTGATTATGGTGATTAATATACAGCACTTATAGTATAATTTGTGCCATACTTATTTTCTCAAAGTTTGACTATGCTTTATGTTACTCTGCTGGTATTTATCATTTTATTGTTTGACTAAATGACAATCAAACACACAAATTTTAAGAAACTAAACTGATTTTGCATTCGGCAATATGTAATGCACGAAAGGTGAAAATTGTGGTGGAAACTATGTTTGTCAAAGTTTACACCTTCATCGAACATTTTTATTTCTGTTTTCATAATATATTTTAAAACTACGAAGTCATCATTTCACTTCCTTTCTAAATATATCTCTCAGTATGATAATTGAAAGCAGTGCTAAAATATATTTTATAGTTTGAAAAAGATAGTATTTTAAAATATATGATTTTATGAGAAGTTATTGGGAATGTAAAATTTTTCTTAGCTTATAACTAATCTATTAAAATACTAAATTTCCCAACATATTTTAGAAATATTATGTATGTGTAGAGTTATAATTTAATAAGAATAGTTCGACATTTTCTGTCCCGAAATATTATAAATAAGTTTTACAAGATTTATAGGTTTTAGTTTGTCATAATCTTTGGAACTTTTCCCAGTTTTTAAGACATAATGTATGTTTTTTTGTTGGATAAACATTTTTATGTTGAATTTTCAGAGAGATAAATTTTTCTTATGTTTTTTATTTGTTAGTTTAACTTTTCTAATTGATTCTAATTGATTTTAAATTTATTTTGAAAGATAAATTTTTTGTAAACTTACACATTAACTTGTGAAACACTGCATATAACATCTATAATAGTTGGTCAAGCCTAAAAATCCATGTATTTGCTTGTGGATAATAGAATTATGCCATCAAGCAATTGCTTAACTTAATTGAGTATGTGGATTCTCCTCAGAATCACATAATTCCCTCAATGCTCCACGTTCTCCGTAGCAGAAACATATTTACTTCTCTTATTCTGTCTCATCACTTCAAAGTCGCATTTTTGATGTTCCACATGTTTTCTAGTGATGAGTGTATACATCGAAGTGTCATGAAAATGTGAGAATATATTGTCGCATATAAGGTTTAAATACCGAGCTCATACTCTGAACATTGTTGGAGCATTAATACGGTTGAAATGTCATCACTAAACAGTTGTAGTGACTTCTGTGAGTCTTACAACTTGTTTTGTGTAAATAAGGTGTAGCCATCTTCACATTAATTTGCTTTAAATGTTTTATTAGGACTAGTTTTTTTACCGTGTTACTCGCGGTTATTTTTGTTGATATATTTTGGTCTAAATTTTGGTAATGTTTTGTTGTTCTATTTTCATTTTTTTTTTGTTTCTTTATTTTACATTATTAAATTAAATGTCAAAACATCAATTATAGCTTTTATTTACATCTAAATTTTATTAATTTTCTATTATTTTCAATTAATTGAGGTAAATATAAAATTTATTTTAAATATGTGCATTATATACCTTATATTTTATCAAAATTAATATAAATCAAATATTATTTGTAGGTTAAAATCTATTACCCGCTTAATGTATTTTATACATTACTATATGCTGTTAAATATGTATTATAAATTCAAACTTTTGTAGGTATTGTAAAATATGTGTGGATTTATGCTTTAAGTAATGTAGATGTATCATAAAGAATTATATAAATAATATTTTTAATGTCTACCTAAACAGTTATATGATATATATAACTTCATGAAAATATTATTTAGCGAATAAAATATTTTTTATCTCAATAAAAGTTTTAGTGATGAAAGTTAAATTTTTCACAAACCTTAAAAAATGTTGTTAAATTAATTATACATATACTTAATTTTAATAATATTATTTAAAAAATCAGTTTTCTACGTACTGCACGCACATTAATTCGCATATTCTTCAATTACGTGAATATAAATAAAAGTAATTAAGAAAAATTAGAATTATTAATATTATTTTGTTTTTTAATTAATAACCTTTTATTATAAGCATTTTACTAATTCAAAAAATATTTAAAGAAATTTAAAACTATATTTGTCTCTCATGAATCATTCTTAAGTTACTAAATTTTAAAATAATAAATTATAATTGAAATTAATAAATTAAAATGGATTTAATAAATATTTATTTATTAAAAATTGGTTATTGTCTTTCAAATAATCATTATAAGCATTTTACTAATTCAAAAAATATTTAAAGAAATTTAAAACTATATTTGTCTCTCATGAATCATTCTTAAGTTACTAAATTTTAAAATAATAAATTATAATTGAAATTAATAAATTAAAATGGAATTAATAAATATTTATTTATTAAAAATTGGTTATTGTCTTTCAAATAATCAATTATAAACTTGAATTTTTTAATAAAATGGAAATTATATAGTTTTTGCTTTATTAAATAAATATTAGCATAGATAAATATATTGTAATTTTTATTTAAATAACTGAAATTAACAATAAATTTTAAAATAAAAATTTATTAAAGACATACGTTGAGATATTTGTTTCCTCGTCCATGAATGTTGTAATTATCATCCCATCAAGTGTTTTAACACTTGTCCAAAGGATTCATTAAGGAGATTGTCACCTTCTCCACGTATAGAATATCGGAAGCAGAGAAACTTTGCATTATAGAGTTGCAAAGCGCCACAGATGAAAGCTTTAATGCACTTTGGCTAAGTGAGTGGCATAATATACAGTCATATATCTTCCTACTATTGTATCCAGCTTCCAATAAAACTCATTTGCTTTCATTGAATCTTGAAGCGGAGTATCTAGTCAACTGAAAAAGGAAATCCTCTACTCCATCCTTCTCGAACCGGTTTCCATCAACATACAAACTCTGCAAGTTCTTGTTCTTGAAACGTCAAGCAGCAACATACACAATTGCTTCGTCTTTAGGCCTAGGATTTTAGAGCCTCACTTCTCTAAGAAGCTTGTCTGTTTAAGAACCCATCAGAACTCCTTCAGCCACAGAAAATTCAGCACTGCACATGTCATGCCTAGAGACGTCAAGAGCCAGAAATGTCGATCTTGTAAGTCCTTAAAGTATTTCTCTCAGGCGAGCTTTTGTCCCTTATGTGATTTTCACTCACACGGGAACCTCCATTTCCCTGTTTATACCCAAAATGGTAGATATCAATGTATGCTGAAACTGTTTAAAAAAAATAACAACTTACCCATCTCTTAGTGGCTAACACAAAAGCTAAAAATTTCTTAAATTTGCTCTCGATTATATTGTTGCAGAACTAGTACCAGCTCTATCATGAAAAATGATTGAAACTATCAATATACCAGCTTGATGCAACGTTTATAGCTATGAAAGCTCAGGGCTCAATCTGGAGAAGGAAAAAAATCATTTAGGATTCCGACATTTTGTTTATAACATATTATATTCAACAAAAAATATTTCTTACCTGGGATAACTGGGCAGAATCATGAGATTTGGGATGGAGAAGTAGCTGCAACAAAAAAAATGAACATGTTGTATGCATCCATACTTGATACCTCTCCATACTAAAGCTTTGATGACTTGAGCCCTATTCTTGATTGTATACAATCCTTCAGCCAGAAAGTTATCCCTGATCCTGCCATATAACTCAGAGGCTCGGTTTTAGCGCCAAGACTACGAAATTATTATTAACTTGTGGTAGCCACTTTCATCGTACCATTGAGCTTCATCACACACACACACACACACACACACCAAGTGAGTATAAATTTATGGAGCAACTTCAAATTCTCTCAGTGAACGTGTTGCATATAAAACGAAAGAAGCTTTAAGCTTATAACGTAAGCAAAAACTAAAATCTGAATTATCAAATCTCATAAAAGGTTTCTTCTGATGACCATATACCTTGGCGCCTCATTTGTTTTATGAAAGATTTTGTAGTGTATAGTTGTGATCTATAGCTCTTGGTGTGTTGCATCTCGGTGATTCAGAGACATTATCCCTGTTGTTTACTAAACGCAGCGTCAATGACAAGCGATCAGAAAATATAAAGGGAACTTATGTGCCATGTAAGCAGCAAGTCAAAATTCTGAGTTTGAAGATGCAAAAATCATATAACAACAATGCATCTCTTTTTCTCTCTCATGTTTGTTGTTAGGGCTGTTCGTTTGGTTGCCGCCAGTTTTGCGGCTGCGGCTGAGTTTTCGATAAAATATTGTTCGTTTCGTTGACGCGGATGACCTGCGGCAGCGGCTGTGGCTGGACGCGACATTTGCGTCTGACGCAGATAAAAAGCAGCGTATCTCGAGTTATTCATGCGTTTAATTAATTTAATTACAATTCTACCCTTAACCTAATGCATTATTTACAAAAAGACCTAAGCTTATTAGCCTCAGCCGCAACTCTATTCTCATTTGACGCAACTTTTTGAGCAGATCTCCAACTCATCTCTCCAGCTTCTCCGACGACGTATCTCAAGCTCTCGAGCTCTCTCCATCTCCCTGAAACTCTCACCATCTCGAGCTTCTCTCCATCTCAAGCTCTCCCCATCTCAAGCTCTCTCCATCTCGAGCTTCTCTCCATCTCAAGCTCTCTCCATCTCGAGCTTCTCTCCATCTCAAGCTCTCTCCATCTCGAGCTTCTCTCCATCTCAAGCTCTCTCCATCTCGAGCTTCTCTCCATCTCGAGCTTCTCTCCATCTCAAGCTCTCCCAAGCTTTGTCCGTCTCTCACTCTCTGGTAAGGTTTCTCTGTCTCCCAAGCTCCTCTGTTGGGTTTGTTTGTCTGTCTAGTAAGGCTGGGGCTTTACAATTTTAGTTCTTTATTTGTTTTCTTACAGGACTTGTTGGGTTTTTGTTCCTCTTCAAAGCCAGACCATCTGAAGCTCAGATCCTCTCAAGCTCTCTCTGGAGGTATGGTTTAATGGTTCTTTGTTTTGTTAAGTTAAAGAGTTTGGACGAGGCTAGAGCATGTTGGTGTTTGTGTACGTATGTGTATGATTCATTTAAGATGAGTAAAGATGTGTATCAAGCTCTCTTGTCTAAAGATGTGGATTTGTTGTCTATGTTTTATGAACTAGTCTGAGATTTTTGGATATAAATCTTTTTTTTTGCATCATTTATCTAGAGATTGGGATTAACTTTGACATCTTGGACATAGATCAGTGTTTTGTCTACAAATTATTTTCCACTTGCAAAGCTTTCTTTGCTCATTTGGTTGTTGATCTTGACTCTTTAGATTTGGAGTCAGATTTTTGTCGCTTGCTTCTGCTCCATATGGACTCTACATATTACTCACTACTTGATTGTTGTTTCTTTGTAGCTGTCTGTGTATGTACGTAGAATTGGTTAAGTGTTTTAGTTTACAATAAGATATTTTATTTTATTTTACCAACAATCTTTGATGATTCACGTATAGTGTTTGTGTAAGTTAGTGTTTTATTTTATCATTACAATAAGATATGCAATCTGCAAGAGTTCTCTTGTATCTTAGCCTCCATTGCACTGACAATCTCCATTTATTTACTTATTCTTTCTGTGTTTTTTGCAGGCTCATCTCGAGCTCTCTTCTCCGCAAAACCACTCTGAGCTCTCTCAGTCTCAGACTCTCCGAAGCTCTCACTCTTCTCCAACGACGAGGATTACGGTGAGAGATTCTACTTGGTTTTATTGCTTTGTATTAGCTATTTTCTTAGCTTTTATGTTCACTTTAATAAGTGCTTATAGAGCTTTACTTGATGATTGTTTTTTGTAGGTATCATCAACGTGTTAGCTAGAGCTTTTGCGTTGGACGTGATCACGTGAACACAATAAAAGTATCAAGCTCTCTTATCTCTCTGTTCTCATTGACTTTATCATGTGTTCTATTATATATATATATCGTTCAAGGTTAGTATATATATAGAATTATTTGTACAGATTTGTAGCAAGGTTAATATATATATATATCGTGCTATTCACTTATAGAGCTTTACTTTTTGTTTGTTTAATGGTGATACAGTATGTGTATTGGTTAATATATATATATATATATATATATATATTTGTTTCTTCATATTAAGAACTCCAGACTTGTTTAATTGTTTACAGTAAAGACAATATTTGATCGCCCTTATTGCTTATTACATGATTTTTTTTTGCAGGTATCAAGCTCTCTTATCTCAAGCTCACACTCTCAAGTTCACACACTCAAGCTCAGATCCTATCAAGCTAAGATCTCTCAAGTTCCTTACCTCTTAAAGTTTGGTAAAGTTTCTTTGTCGATTACACTTGAATCTCTCCAACTCTGTTGCTTATAGCTTATTTCAGCCAGCAGCTCAAACTCAGCCAGCAGCTCACTCTGGAAGTTCAAGGGCTAAAAGAAGGCGTAAAGAGAAAGATGCGGTTGTAGAGTCTTGTGACAAACGGACTGCAGCTATTGAGGTGAAGAATAGGATAGCAGAACGGCTACTAGAGCGTGAAGAAGCCTTTAGTATTGAAAATGTGTTGCTGATACTGAATGTGTTGCCTGCAGTGAGAGAATGGTCTCCATTATATGGAGCAGCAGTTGAACTTCTTATAGATAGTGAAGGGAGCCGAAGGGGTTTTATGACAATGAAGACAGATGAAGCTAAGACTAAGTTTCTGGAGCTTAGGACCAAGATGAAACGTGATGATGAGTAGTTAGTTAGTTTGGTCCTAATAGCAAGAGTTGGAACTAGTATGGAGCTTAGGACTAGTCTTTTGTGATCTTTTGGTATTGCTTTTGTGATGGAACTAGTATGACTTTAGTATTGTATGACTTTAGTATTGTATCGTTTAATATCTGTTTTAAGAGATTTGACTTTATAATATTTGCTTTATAATATTGTATCGCTGTCTTGTGATCTTTATGTTTGATATAGATGGTCCATCAACCTATAAATCAATATGAACGTTAGAACATAATCTTTACATTTATTTGTGTTGCTATTTGTTTAGTATAACTTTACTGTTTTTTTATTTGTTTATTGATGATAATTTGTTTAATGATTTTGTAGATGCTTAAAAGATGGATATTGGAAGATGAGGATGGTGATTATGATGATGAACTTGGTGTCTTTGATATGGTTACTACTGGGAGATTGAGTCATATAACATATCAAGGAGCATGATGGCGTCATGTTCAACAACTAATGTATGATTCAGATCAACATTGTTATGACATTCTTCGAATGAATCAAGCAACTTTCCAGGCTTTGTGTAAGATGCTAGTTGAGCGGTATGGATTACAAGAGTCTCACAATGTCTACATTGAAGAATCAGTTGCAATGTTTCTTGAGATGGTTGGTCAGGATAAGACGGTGCGGGATATAAGTGAAAGATATCAACGAGCAAATGATACGGTGAAAAGGAAGCTTGAGGATGTTTTGAGTGCTCTTCTGAAGTTTGCAAGTGATACACTACAACCACAGGAAGGTGAATTTTCAAGAGTAAATCCTGTTTTGAGGAATGATGATCGATATTGGCCTTATTTCAGAGATTGTATTGGAGCACTTGATGGAACTCATGTCCCGGTTCGTCCTCCTCCTGAAAATGCAGAAGCATTCAGAGGCAGAAAGCAAGATTCTACAATGAATGTTCTTGATATATGTAACTTCAACATGAAGTTCATATATGCTTATCTTGGTGTACCTGGTAGAGCACATGATACAAAGGTGTTGACTCATTGTGCGAGGAATGAGGCTTCTTTCCCACATCCTCCTCATGGAAAGTATTATCTAGTTGACTCCGGATATCCGACCAGGACAGGATATCTTGGTCCGCATCCTAGTATGAGATACCATCTTGGTCAGTTTGCTAGAGGAGGACCACCAGTTAGTGCAAGAGAGTTGTTCAACCGGAAGCATTCAGGTTTGCGATCAGTGATTGAGAGGACATTTGGAGTATGGAAAGCAAAATAAAGGTGTTTGGATCGTAAGCATCCAAAGTATGGTCTGGAAAAATGGATTAAGCTGGTAACAGCGACGATGGCACTACATAACTTCATATGTGATTCACATCGGGAAGATCGTGATTTTGTACAATGGCAAAGTGGTTATGATGGAGAAAGAGAAGAAGCTGATGGTGATGGTGAAGAACAAGGAGAAGCTAGTACTTCATATGAGCCGACTCGTGATGCAGTGATGGAAGAAATGCGTAAGAACATCACAAATGAATGTGGTAGAGGTCGTTTACCGTATTAAATATTATTGTTAAAGACTTGATGTATTATTTAGCTTTTGTTTTGTGTTAATACTTTGATATATTATTTGTGGTTTAAAACTTTGTTTTATTTATTTAAGACTTGATGTATTATTTAGTTTTTATTTTGTGTTAAATACATTAATGTATTATTTGTGGTTTAAGACTTTGTGGTTTAAAACTTTGTTTTATTTATAATATTTATGATAAATAAATGTTTTTAAATTAGTATATTTGCCTAAAAAATTATTACAATTAAATAAAATATTTTGATGGATGTAAAATATATTTAAACAGCATTTTCTTTATTTAAAATACAATTTTACAAATTTTTAAAATTAAAATATGAATTAAATGAAAATAAAATTTTCTGCGGCTGCGTCTGCCAAACGAACAGCATAAATCATTTTTCTGCGTCTACGTCAATGTATTGCGTCCATGAAACGAACAAAACTCTGCGGCTGTGGCTGAGTCTGCGTCTGCGGCGGCGGTTGTGAAACGAACAACAAACAAATGAACAGATGCAGCCGCAGACTCAGCCGCAGCCGCAGAAACCTGCGGCGACCAAACGAACAGGGCTATTTACTACCGCTGCCTCAGACGCTGGCGTTTGAAGAACAAACAGAGCTATTGACCAAAACCAAAGCTCCTTGATCTCTTCCTGCCAAATATGTTCTTGTGTAAATAGCTCATGTGTGAAATGCTATATTCATGTAAATTTCTAAACATGTCAATATATAGTTCATGCAAAACATGATAGGTTTTACTTATTCTCACATGACCAGGTGTTGGTTGGATTGGTTAATGAGTTCCTTGAGCTTTTATTTCCAGGATTGTAACAAGTTAAAAACTTACATACAAATCATAACTGATAAATAACTTAGTCTTGATAGGCATATCGAATTCTTCCAAAACTTGAGTAAATGCAGGAAACGTATCATTGCAGCTTAGAGTCTGTATGAAGCTGTAAATTCTGTCGAGAATCTGAGCAATGTTATATTTTTTAAAATTGTATTGAGGCTCATTCTGTCTCTAAAATATAGTTTTACCTCTGCATCGTAGCAAACTGTTACGAGAAAACTAAATATAAGATCCTCTACAAATCATCACATGATGAAAGCGAGGTAAAACAAAAAAAAAAACCGGTTAGAAACGTACATGGTTTTATGCATTCCCAGAATCCTCCATTTCACACCTCTTCTTCCATTTCAGTACTTATATAAAAATACAGTAGTTATACTCATTAGCATTATCATATTCCAAGGTAATCTAAGAAAAAATAGAATGCCTTCGGAAACTGAAAAGAAAGAGATGTCTAGTTTTGAACCAAAAAAAAGAGATGTCTAGTCATGAGCATCAGATTTGTTTCATTGACATCTCTTTGTCTCTCTTGTCCTTCCTTGTCAAAAAAAGTATATGATGACCTTTAAGGATCGTGAACAACAACCAATCTCTGGAGATCAGATAACATCAAGCAAGTCCACTTCATCTGAAATAGAAAATAGCATAAATAGTATCAAAATTATGTGTATTATTTCCTTGATTCGTTGTTCCATACCTCATCCGCTCTCTCAGTACTCATCTCACATTTTTTTGTACTTTCTGTTTCTTTCATCTCGCACTCTTTATCACTTGATATGTGGCTCTTCATCTCAACCTCCCCATCGCTTTTCATCTTGATTTCTCCGTCGCTCTTTGTCTTGATCACTCAGGCGCTTACTTTGTTTCTCTCTATCTCGTTCTCTTTGTTTCTTACTCCAGTGCTCTCCCTTCAATCTGTAAGATGTGGGAGACCCAACAAAAACAAACAAATCAGAAGGCTTTGTAATCCAGAATTTTAAGGGAGAGAAATATATATTGAGAATCGATTTGAGTCATCTTTTGATGTATATGAAATGAATAAAGACAGATACCGAAAAAGGCGTAACATTCAAACGGATTGATTGATGCAATTAAACATAAGAAATAATATGGAATTTTCTGAGAAGAAAACGAAGAGATGTGGAAGGGGAAATTTTGGTTTGAAGGAGATGAAGAGACCGATGAGAACAGACGTTTTGACGTGGCATATGGTTTTTCATTGGTGATTTTTGAATGGATGATTATAATTGCCTACGAGGATAATCTAAAAACTTTAGAATAAGAGCTTTTAATAGTGTTAGATATAACCTAATATAGACAAAAACACCGATCGATACTTTTTTAGTTAGATTTAAAAGATACGTTTACAATGAAGATAATGAGGAGTAATGAGCAAAAGGGAAATTAAATTGCTGATTACACATACAAACCCATGTTGCATGAGAACATGACGTTCGTCATTTTATTAAATCCAAGAAAATTAAAAACACAAAGGCAATCACTGATTATAAGAAACAAGAAAAGAAGGAAATAAGTTCAAGAATTTGAAACCATGCGATCAATTAACAAAACCGAAATCCAATCAAACCAACTGGTTTGACTGGTCAACAAATTAACTCACTGCATTGACTCATCCGAGTCACCGGCGAGTCAGCGGAGACCGGTCACCGGCGGCAACAAGTTAGCGGCGGCTTACCAGAGATCAACAGCTGCGATGGACTGCGCTTGAGATCCACGCGCGGGGGCTTAGATCGACGGCGTGTGAGCTACATGTGCGGTATACAATGGTGGCGCGTGAGAGGTGTTCTTTGGCTGATCTTCCTACTCTAGACTCGTCTTGATGTCCTTAGATTCATGAGAAACAGTACGGTTAAGGAGTTATGATTGATTTACTAAATTTCCAAAACAAAACCTTATGAAACAACGGTGAACTGTGTTACTTGCGGGCGGTTGACGGTGATGGGGTGGCGGATCCGGTCGTAGTCGACGGTAACATTGACGGTATGGTCTCCAATCTACTTGACGGCTCAATCTTTATATGAATTTGTTGCATAGGATTTTTGAAGAATAAAATAATGGAGACTAATCTTTAAAAAGAGGCTCATCTAGGGTTTCAGGCAGCTCCACAAAAATGCCAGCAAAAATATATTTTTCACTAAAACAGCAAAAAAAACATA